ATTTTTCTTATGATATAACAGTGACGAGATTTCTTACTAGAAACTTCTTAATTTTTCATATAAATATAGCAGGGTTAACAGTGTCTTCTGATTCACCAGGTTTATTGGCATCTTTCATTTCAGTATCAGGTTTAACAGTGTCTTCTGGTTCATCAAGTTTATTGGCATCTTTCATTTCAGTATCAGGTTTAACAGTGACTTCTGGTTCACCAAGTTCATTGGCATCTTTTGGTTCACCAAGTTCATTGGCATCTTTATGATCATTACCAGATGACGTAACTTTCTCTTCGGTATCAGGTTTAACAACTTTTGATTCATCATGTTTCTTGGCCTCTTCTTGTTCATTACCAGGTGATGTACCATTCCCTTCGGTATTAGGTTTATCAACGACTTCTGGTCCATTAGTAGATGATTGTTCTTGTCCATTTTCATCTTGATTTTTAGCGTTTTCCGGTTCACTAGTAAATGATTTTTCTTCTTTTCCTTTTTCTTCTTGATTTTCAACGTTTTCCGGTTCACTAGTAAATGATTTTTCTTCTTTTCCTTTTTCTTCTTGATTTTCAACGTTTTCCGGTTCACTAGTAGATGATTGTTCTTTTCCTTTTTCAACTTGATTTTCTTGATCTTCAACATTTTCCAGTTCACTACCAGGTGGTGGTGGGAAAAATAATGGCAATAGTTCTTCATATACATCTTTATTTTCATCCTCAAACACACAGAAAATGATCCTATCAACCTAATAAATTTTAACATAAATTCTAACATAAATTCTAAAATCTAGCATAATGAATATATATATATTTTTTTAGAATACAAAAGATAGTAAACAAACCTCCTCAAGATTAGGGTGCTCGTCCATCCATTTCCTTGTGGTTTCAAGGGCAACACGACCTGCAGGATAACGTGGATACCCATAAACACCTTTTAATATTATCAATAAATAAATGAGTAAATGGATATGAATGAATAAATAAATAAACAAATAAATAAATAAATAAATGAATAAATGAATTTACGAAATATGAATATGAAACAAACCTGTACTAATATTTGA